GCAAATGATGATGAGAAAACGGGATGGGGCCCCAAAGGTTTGTTTATATTATAAAATGAATTTCGAGCATTATTTGTCTTGAACTTTGAATTTTTAAGCATTGACGCTTTTTTTTTTTTTAATTTTTAATTTTTTTTAATTATTAATAGGTGAACATAAATTACGTCAAAAAGGACAGGGCAGGTGCATTCACGTTAGTGAATTTTTGTGTGAACCACTGGGCCGAGTTCATTTAACTGAAGAACAGCATGCAGCTCACCCCGAAATTTCAAAACGTTACGTTATGGAGTTATTAGAAATTGAAGCGAATTATGAAGGTTATTGGAATGTTCAATTGCTAGTTAAGCAACTTGAACGGGCAATTGACATTTTGGAAATTGCACTTCCAGATACGATATTGGTTTTTGGGTTTGATAACAGTTTCAGCCATGGAGCCTTCGCTGAAGATGCATTAATAGTAAACAGAATGAACATTGGTTATGGTGGTAAACAACCCAAAATGCGTCCTGGTCGATTTTCTGATGGCATGTTTCAAGAAATAGTTTTTCCATTAAATCATCCAGACGAAAAAAAAAGGGGTCAACCAAAAGGAATTAAGGAGGTAATGACAGAAAGGGGAATATGGGATAAGCGATTAAGAGGCAAATGTGTTAAATGCTCAAAAGATGAAACAAAAATATGCTGTAATAAGAGAAAATTGGCTAGGCAGCCAGACTTTATGGAACAGAAAAATGTTCTTGAGGAAATTGTGCTTAAACGAGGTCATAAAATTTTTTTTTTATCCCAAGTTTCATCCAGAATTAAACTATATCGAATATTATTGGGGGACGATAAAAAGGTACGCAAGAAGCCACTGTAATTATACTTTTCAAGGATTAGGAAAAACCATACCAGAGGCTTTTAATTCTGTAGATATTATAACAATCAGGAAGTTTGCAAGAAAAGCGTGGAGGTATATGGACGCCTATAGGAAAGGATTAACTCCTTCTGCTGCCGAATTTGCAGTAAAAAAATATAAATCGCATCGCAGAATTCCTGAGAATATTGAATTGTAATGGTTGCATAATAATTAAATAAAATTATTATAAAAACTTATTTTATGTGCTTTATTATTTTATTATTTATTATTTGTTTAAATTATTCATTAATTTTATATTTAAAATTTACTTAAACTGATTACCAACAAGATAAAGTAGATTATACCGATACAAATAATGCTCGAAATTCATTTTATAATATAAACAAACCTTTGGGGCCCCATCCCGTTTTCTCATCATCATTTGC